CGCTCTTCAGCGCGATGTCCGCCCAGAACTCCTTCAGCACCTCGCGGCGCGCCAGCGCTGGCTGCATGCCTCCCTGGCCGCTCTCCTCTAGCATCCACGCCGTCGCCTTCGCGAACGCCCTGATGCGCGGGCCCCCTCTCGCGCGGAAGCCCACCTCCTTCGACTGCCCTCCGCGCCGCGCCCTCCGCGCCGCGCCCAACGCCTGCGCCGATGAGCTCGTCGCCAAGCGCGCCCTCGCCCTCGGCCTCCGACGCCGGGACGCGCACTTCGCCTTCGAGGGGGGCCACCTGCCGCGCCGTGGCCACGACGAGCTCCGCCGTCGCCTTCCACAACTTTGCCGCGTCGCCTATAGCCGCCGCCGTTGCCGCCCACCTCTTTGCCCTTCTCGGCCGATTGCCGCTCGCCCCCCCGACGAGGGGCTGTCGTCTCCTCCGCGAATCGCTTCGGCCACGTCGGCATGAGGACGCCCCTGCGTATCTTCCGGTCGGTCGGCGGCGGCGCTAGCACACGCTAGGGCAGGCGGCTCGATCCAAAGCGCCCCCTGGGACCTGGCCAATCCGCCCCCTTGAACTCGCTATGGTCGCACCTCAGGCGCGCGGGAACTCCTCGACGACGGATGGCTAGACTTGCGCACCCAGCGTGCCACCCTCTCCGCCCGCCCCTCCTCAAGATGCATAAATCTCTCTCTCTCTCTCTCTCTCTCTCTCTCTATCTCTCTCTCTCTCTCTCTCTCTCTCTCTCTCTCTCTCTCTCTCTCTCTCTCTCTCTCTCTCTCTCTCTCTCTTCTATACATATATATATATATATATATATATGTGTCCATCTCTCTCTCTCTCTCTCTCTCTCTCTGGCCAGAGCAAACTCGCCCACGCGCCATAAACCAATTCCTTCTGGGCCAAGGGCGACAGAGGTCGCGAACAGCACGGGCGCTGCGCTGGCGGCGCAAGAGCTGGCGCCGAACGGCGAAGCGCGCCGCGCACCGACGGCCCCCCGCTAACGGCGCGCCGCAGACGAAGACGCCCATCAGCGCGCCCCCCTCTTCACCTATCTCCGCATAGCCCTCCATCTCAACCGGCGCGACCGCAGATGGCGGCGGGATCTGAGTCGTCAAATTGCCCGCGCGCGCCCTCGCCAAGTCCATTATCAGCCAGCGCCTTGTCCGCCTCCAACTTCCACGGCGCCCTGCTCAGCCCCCCCCCGCCGGCCGGCGCCGCCTTCGCTAACCATCGCCGCCTCGCCCGCGTCGCCCCCGACTCGGCGCGCCCCGGGCGGGGCCGCCTCAGCAAGCCCGCCTCAGCGCACGGTAGAAGAGGCCTGAAGACCAGGGTGGCCCGCGAGCAGCGGGGAGAGGAGCTGCGCGCGCAGCATCGGCCTCCTCGCCCAGCTCCGATGCCTCCGCAGTACTGCCTCACCAGCAGCCCGGCCCCCACATCCGTCAAGTTCCAGTACGTCAGCGCCTCGTCCGTCGCCAAGCACTCGGCGCCGCCGCCCCCGCCCCCGACGGCGGCCTTCCCCGCCGACGCAGCGCGTCCGAGATGGCCCCGGCATAGCGCAGGCCTTCGCAGCAGCACCACCGATAAAATCAAGCACTTCACTGAAAGCGGCACCCACAGCACCGCCGCTTGGAACACGGCCCCCCCCGCCTCGACGGCGCGCTCGCGCTCCGCCGCCGCCGCACACGTCCTCGACGCATCATGCTCCGCCGCGCCATGGAGGGAGATCAGCGGGCCCATGTGGCGCTCGGGGTCGCCCGCCTCTCCTCGAATGCCTGCTGGCCCGCCCCCGTGTTTGCGAATCCACCGCCCGCGGGCGATCACCCCCGCCCCTCGGACCATCGGGCCGGCGACCTGCCCCCCCCTGCGGCGCCTCATCCCGAGCTCGCCCGGCGCCCCGCCCTGCTCGTCACACGCCCCCATTGGCCCCATTGCCGCGCCCCCCATCGAAGCGCCCACTTCCAACAGGTGGCGCGCGCCCTGGTCGCCCGCGCACCGCCGGTGGCCGAGGTCGACGTCGCCCGCGCCCCCCCGCCCGAGCGCGAGCGAGGGCGCCGCGGGGCGCCGCTCGCGAGCTGCCCCCCCACCACCACTGCGCGGGCCCCTGGAAGGCCATCCCGAACGCCTCGACGATGAACAAGTCGCCCATCATCGCGC